TATGTATGAAAAAAATAAGAAAGAGAACCTATTCTACCAAAAACGTCCTCGCAAGTCTAAACAAAAAAATGAAGCAGACTTACCGCCTCGACACACACTGCTTTGCACTGAGCCCCATTAAAATCATCAGTACACCGAGCCAATTCTTCAAAATTTACATCCTTACTAAAAGTGTAAGTAAAATAATGCCAATAATACAACCGCAAAGATTTCCAAACGTATGTTGAAACAAGAAACTAATCAAATAAGGCGACAGAAGATTAATCCAGAAACTAACAGATCAAAAATATATAGTAAAACTTTTAGAAAAACAGACTAATATATAGCTAATTTTTAATGTCCCAAATGTACTATGCTGCAATTCTTTATAGCTCTCAAAAGAATCTTTGAATAATCGGCAAGAAAAGGTAAGGGAAAAGAGGAGTGATGTGTAAAGCACCTAGAGACTTATGCATGAATTATAAAATGGAATAATTAAGAATAGCATATGGTTAAAAGGCACGACTGTCTATAGTCAATTTCAATAGATGTATGGCATAGTGAATAAAAAAGCTTAAGTGGCAAATAATCTGAGACACAATAAGAAACATACTCAACGTTCATTTTCCGGGAGTGTATCTGCATTATTCTGGCACGAGCCTCCTCATTGGGTGCAGGGAATTCTATCTTACGATCTAGTCGGCCAGATCTAAGAAGCGCAGGGTCAAGAATATCAACTCGATTTGTCGCTGCTATAACTTTTATGTCATGATTAGGTTGAAACCCATCAAGTTGATTTAACAATTCAAGCATTGTGCGTTGAACCTCACGATCTCCAGCCTTTTCACTGTCAAAGCGCTTCGTGCCTAAAACGCAAAATAAAAATGATTTAGTTAGAAGTAAATATTATCCGTAGTAGCAAAACAAGTAATTAATCAAAATGCACCAGCATACCAATCGCGTCTAATTCATCTATAAAAATTATGGCAGGTGCCTTTTCTTTTGCCAAAGTAAAGGCATCCCTAACTAATTTGGCACCATCGCCTATGAACATTTGTACTAGCTGAGGTCCAGCAAGCTTGAGAAATGTAGATTTAATATGAGAAGCGCACGCCCTAGCGAGGAGAGTTTTTCCAGTGCCAGGGGGTCCATAGAGCAAGACTCCCTTGGGAGGCTGGATACCGATGGCCTCGAATCGATCTTTGTGGGTCATTGGTAATACAACAGCTTCAATTAACTCCTTAAAGAGCAGGTTAGACCAATAAATTTGTAACCTGTATTTGTTTATCGAGGCCACCGATGTCGGTATAGCACTCAGCTGGCCTATCATCAACTTCCATTGCCTTTACTCTCGAATCAAATTCAGGGGGAAGTTTTTCTAAAATGAGATAGGAGTCTTTATTGACTCCAATGAGATCACCCGGCTTAAGTTCTTCGGGTGGTACTAATCCGATAACTGGCAAGAAATAAGTTTGACGAGTGCTCGTCTTGATAACAGCACATTTGCCCTTGCGCTGAGCATCTAGATCAATGTTTGCGCCATCTTCTTCTTCATCTTCTTGCGGCTCAACATCCAGAAGCTAAAAGTCATGCTAATGGCTAAAATACCTCTACGACGTTTGAAACCAGATAAGGAAGTGATTTATTCATCTTAATTTTTCCTTTACTTTCCTTAACCTTTGCTTGCTTCATTTTAATTTCATGATCTACATGATGAAGCTCAGATTTCATTATCTAGTGAATATGAAAGTGAATAGATTATACTTTAATCTCATTATCCAGGAGACGAGTACGGCTTATGAGCTCATCTGTTGACATTCGCATAACATCTTCAAGAATTATATCCTGAGAATAAATAAAAACTCGTGAGTTACCTCTAAGTGATCCCAAATTTGGTTATCGACTGCAGTCATTGGGAACAAGCTGATCTAAGCAGTATTTTCTAAATATCCGCAAAAGGCGAAAAGAAATCCAAAAGTTTAAAAAATTGATAAATATTTAGTAAGTTTTAATAATAATTCGAAAAAAACACAATAAAATTTATTTTTATTTTGTTGTTTTAGATTTGTTTTAAGAATGAGAATTTATTAATTTAGATATTAAAAACTCCAAGTTGCATACTGAAGATGCACTTATAATAGGACTTAAGCGGTCATCAGGGCAAAGGGGTACATCAACAAACTAAAATACCAAAGGAAAATTAAGTGAAACAAAGCAGCAAATAAGTGATACATAATATATATATATAATATGACTTGAAATCTAATTTTAAGACTATGAACAAATTTTGATTACAATCATGAGGTATATTTTCTATTTTTATTACATCTAATTCAGACCTAGATTATATAAGTATCGTTACAATTCATAATGAATAATTATTGCAAGTTCTTATAATCCGTTTACGCATAAAAGATGAGATAAATTCCCTAGTGACGTCTTTTTTTAATCCCTCAAGAATCTTGTACTCTTCACCTAGTATGTTAGTCCTTTTCACAATTTCCTCCAAGGCCTAGCTTTGTTGACCAAAACTGATGCCATAATTTATCTAAAAGTTGTGAGCTTGCAGCGTTTTTGATGCAGCAAGATATGGTTGTAATTATATATCGCATACACATGGCAATACCATAGGTGTCTAAATCTGTCGACAAGATGATAAAGTCGAAAGATCTCTTTTGTTCTTTGAGCTGCTGCTAGATTTTTTAAAATGAGTTTACTATAGATTAGCTACTTTCCTTCTTAAAGTTAACTCTTACTCGTGCGTTCTCAAAATTCGTCATTAGTATATCTGCTTATTATTAACTAAACGCCCTTAGAGGGAATTTTAGGTGGGAATTTTATGGATCCTGATTTTTGTAATTGACTTTATGATGTCTTTTTGCAGTCCTTTACATCTTACGCCATCAAATTATTTCCCATCAATAAATAGTTTTAATTAAGCATAAATTATATTATTATTTTACTGCTTGGATGCAAAGTAAACGTGATTATTATCCAGTCGTCGTTTTTATCACAAAATATTGATCTACTTGACTATGATTTTCATTAATTTATGCAACGTTTACGACGAGAATCAATACAAAACTCTATAGGTGTACCACGGACACTCATAACAAGATCACTCTAAGCATAGGAACGGATGCCATCAGTTTATATACCTAACCTGACTTACAAGTGTGAGTTTGACCCCATTTATAAAGCATACCGTAACCGTGTAATTCAGGATATTACCTCTATAGAATTAAATTAGTTTCCTTAAAATTATTCAAAGGGCTGCTAGATTATAAGGGATTAAATTTCTGGAATATGAAAGCATGTGAGTAACTTTTTTGTATAGAACACTTCCTCTAAAATAAAATCAAGTGGATTTATTAGATAAATTAAATGGTTTTTTATACTCTTATTATTTTCAAGATTAAGGTAAAAATTGTAATATAGGGTATTTACCTGGGATTTTATTTATGTGGTCATGTTGGTCTTCATATAAAGTGTATAAACAAATTTTTAATTGGTTAGAGAGCTGTTATGTAATATCTTATAGCACACTAAAACTAGCTTCATAGATCAAAATATTCAGAAATCCTATGCAATTATGCCATGAATTAATTGAAGCTGTTCTGCTTTGAATAACACTGAAGCTCATTAAGAATAATGTTTGCTGTTCGCTATGTGATTTGGAATAGTTAGATGGCTAAATTAGCTGTGTAAAATTTGATTCATCCTTTATAATTTATTTTTAGCGGCAAACTATTTTTACGTTATTATATGGCACATGTCTGAGTTTAACCTTTGAGAGCATACATTTCTGACTTCAGTTACGTCTTGTGTATCTTTTAAAATACACTATAAATTTATTCAATCAACGTTAAACACTAACATTTGGTTATAAATATATTTGTGATTAAAATGCTATATAAAGGATCCGTCTATGGGGATAAAGCATATAACTATTCCAACTCAGGTAATCTATTTGACGTTTTCTTATATCTCCTGACTATAAATAGTATGTGCGTAGAGTTTCGAGACTACCAGTAAATAAGTAATATATGATGAATTCACCCTGTTTCGCCTAAGGCGATTAAAAACTGGTAGTACAATTTCTCCACAATGATATAAGTAGAGCTGATGTTTCTAATACATTTCAAATTGCCTTACTTTTCCAAAAGTTGCTCTCATCCATTTTAGACTGCAGTTTTGATCTCTCATCGGTCTTATCAACACCCCAGCAGGAGTCGAACCGTGAAAGTGTAGAATGGAAGCTTGACACATTAACCACTCGCAAATTTCGATAAGACCAAGGCGAGGTCAAAAGTGCAGTTCACTTCAGCCATAATAAGAGCAACTTTTGGAAAGCAAAGCTATGTAAAATTCACTGGAAACGTCAGCTCTACTCATATCATTGTGGGAAAATTCTACTACATTTCATATTACTGATTTACTGGTAGTCTCGAAATAATACTTAAATGTGAAAAATAAAGTAACGTATTTGATTTTTATAGCAAATATACCTTTGCTTCATCAACAATCCCATCCAAGAATATGATATAGCAAAATGCCTAGCTTTCCCTGAAATTCACATCTGCCCTGTGACTCTAGGGGACTCGTAGCAATGTGGTCGTGTAGTTGACGTTTCAAGCTCCCATTCTTCACTGTCTTAGTTCGACTACCGCTGGGGGTGGTGATAAGACCGATGCGAGGTCCAAACTGCAGTCAACCCTGGATGAGAACAACTTTTGGGAAAGTAAGGCAATAGAAAATTCAATAAAAACGTAAGCTCTACTCATATCCATGTAAGAAAATTCTACTACCAGTCCTTAATCACCTTAAAGAAAATAGGATGGATACATCTCATATAAATAGTGATATAATAATGGACTT